GGTTCAACCTAGCTGTACAAGACATTGTGAGCTCACTAGAGCTGAACTACGTCAACTGGTCTGTACCACCTTTACTCCATCACGACGGATATGATCCCATCGCCGAGGAAGAGCTTGCTGAAGCATTCACCCAAACATACCATTTCCCCATGTATGAATTCTCCTTTGACAGGTCAAGAAACCTCTAGAATCCAAGAGAAGACAATGGAGTCACAAGAGACGAGCAAAACAAGCTTCACCTTCGAGAGTGATCGAGAGAGTGAAGATCAAGAACAAGACATCAAGGACTTGGAAGAGCTTCAAGAGACTAATCAAGCTACCCAAGAGAAACTCCAAGAAACCATCTACTTCAAGAAACCAACAAACAAACATGCACCTGACAAGACCCATGAAGTAGATCAAGACGTAGTTCAGAGAACATCGATTGGGCCAAGATCGCATCCAGGTAAGTTCTATTCAGTATTTTCGATATTTACAGGTCCACTAAGCCCCAACAACGGCTAGAATACGTGCCCTTCAAGTGAGTTTAAGTGTGCACAATTAGTTTATTTATTTTGTCATTTTCTTTCCAAAAACAATGAGTTTTGTGTTTGCTTTTTATTTGTTTCCTTTTGTATTTCTTTGCATTTATTTTTGGCCCTAGGGCTAGCTGATGGACTCTTATAAAGTCCCCCTGCAGCAATTGTACGATTTTTCACCCTTGATTATCAATAAAGAACCGAACTTTCTTCACTTCTTCTCTTTAAGTGTTCTTAAGAGAATAAGTTTGTTATTTGTCTTGTGTGTGTGATTCCACAAGTCTAAGATCGTGTACTGTATCAGAGACCAATCACATCTCTGTGGTGTACTTCAATCCGCCAGCACTTCCCCTTCATTCGATCCCATACGAGAGAAGCGACCGCCATCGTGTCAGATCTACATCAACGACCATCTTTCCTACACAAGAGAGAAGCGACCGCCATCTTGTGTAGCCATCATATCTATCCTGATACAAGCTCACCACCGAGTATTGTATCAAAAGAAGAAGAAGATGTGTCGTTGTTTGGTTGATGTAGCTGTTCTATTTTTATGTGAAGAACTTGTCTAAACGAACAAGAGGCTCAACTGCTTATTGATGAGGTTTTTGGAATACAGAGTTGGAGTTGGAACCTTTTATTATTATTATTATTATTCTTTTTTCCTCTTTTTTTTCTTTTATTAAATATATTTTGAGGCTTGTATGAATTGCAAAAAGATCAATCCAAAATTTTTCTTTCTTTAGTTAAAGGATTATTTAATCCCAATTAACTCTATAAAAGTATATAACTAGCAAAAAAGTACGTATGTGTGATTAAAAAGTGAGAAAGTAGGTATAAATATATTTTTTCAAAAAAGAAATGATAACTGTGCCCAGAAAAATCATGCAACTTAAGAGCACCTCCAAAGGGAGGTTGTTAGTGAGGTTCATAGGTTTATTTTTTTGACATCACTACAAATTATAAATCTCTTTCTTAGAGGGACCCGGACTCGAACCCTGGTGAGAAGACAATAGAGGTGAGAACCACTAACCCACTTGCTCATTCTCAGGTTCATAGATTTATTATGGACACAAAATAAATCAAAAATGAATAATTAGGTAAGGAAAGAGCCTAAACTAAGGGATTATAGAAGCTGAGTTTAGGGGTGCTTAAAAACACATGGCAATTATTCACTGTTGTGCACTGTTTTATTAAAATATATATATATATATATATATATTCATCTCTTTCTCTTTCTATACTTCTTTCTCTCTCAGACAATTTTATTTAATCAATCTTTATTAATGAAATGTTGTTAAGCATTCTTTTAGAAGTTTACTAATGGAGGTGCTCTTAGGTTAAACATACAAGTGGTAAAGATTAGAAGTAGAAGCAAATCGAATAAACAATTTCAAGTCACAAAAGAAAATTGAAATCAAAGAATACATTATGTATTAATTTCGATCAAATAATTAATTTTTAAATACACATACCAGATAAAAAAATAAGTCAAATAAGTTTTATTAGTTTGCATTACATACTCGTATATGGTGAATTCAAATTGAATTTTACAACTTGAGTTATGAGTAAATGTATGAAATTATTTGGTACATATAAATATTCGTCAAAGTTCTTAGTTCTTCTTTGCATAAGGATTACAATAAAAATCCGTGTCACTCGGGAGCTCCAATGATTCAAATATCTTGACAGCATTATCAAATTCTTTGTTATCATCTTGGTCGAAAAAGAATTCGACTTACCACAACATTTTACAAAATTCAAACCAGATGAAATAGACTTATGTTTTCTCAATACATCACTCAATAAAGGTGACTCGATGAGTTAATGTCATTCATCTTCGAATTTAGTTATGTGCCTCACCCTCGATTAACTCTGTCTCATTTGCCTACTAAGCCTACTTTAGTTTCTATTTCACTATCCATTCAACATTTTGGAATTTATGAGGTTTTAGTTTTCACGATTTGAGAGTTTTTTTTGTGTTCTATTTGACGTACTTTATAAGAAACGAGAGGTTTTAAGGAAAAAAAATTGTTTTTGTATTTAAAAAGTAATGCTTAGTGGTTTCGTTTCAATTAAACAAACTTCGATTGAGTAGAAGAGAGATTATTAAAGGTGTTAATTTTTTTTATAGGCAGAAGGTTAAATTTATTAATGGTTTTTAGTTCAGTGTTTTATTTACTAAAAAGGTAATTGAGGGTTTAAAAATGGATGTCGCATTGTTGAGGTTTTTATCATTAAATTCCCTATATAATTTGCTTGATCTTTCAGTTACGAAAACCATAAATCTTTTTCTTTGGTCTAATTAAGCAGTTTGTGGTAGTTTGTACCCATAATAATATGTCCACTTAAACTTGAATACGAACATATTAGTGATAATATATGGATACTTGAACAACAAAGAAGAAGAAGATGTGTCGTTGTTTGGTTGATGTAGCTGTTGTATTTATGTGAAGAACTTGTCTTAATGAAGAATAGGCTCAATTGCTTATTAATGAGGTTTTTGGAATTCAGCGTTGGAGTTGGAACCTTTTATTATTATTATTATTATTATTTTTCTTTCTTTTTTTCTTTTCTTAAATATATTTTTTGAGGCTTCTCAGAAATTGCAAAAACTGGCGACAATAAAAAAATGAGAAATTACAAAAAGATCAAACCAAAATTTTCTTTCTTTAGTTAAAGGATTATTTAGTCCCATTTAACTCTATAAACGTATATAACTAGCAAAAAAAAAGTGGGTATGTGTGATTAAAAAGTGAAAAAGTAGGTGTAATTGTAATTTTCAACAAAGAAATGATTATTGTGCCCGGAAAAATTATGTAACTTAGGTTAAACATACAAGAGGTAAAGAATGGAAGTAGAAGCAAATCGAATAAATAATTTCAAGTCACAAAAGAAAATTGAAATCAAAGAATACATTATGTTTTAATTTTCTATCAAATAATTAATTTTTAAGTACACATACCAGATTAAAAAATAAGTCAAATAAGTTCTATTAGTTTGCATTACATAATCGTATATGGTAAATTCAGATTAAATTTTACAACTTGAGTTATGAGTAAATGTATGAAATTAATTCGTCAAAGTTCTTAGTTCTTCTTTGCATAAGGATTACAAAAATTTATGTTAATATTTTTCCTACATTCTGCTAAGGTGGGAGAGCATGCGTACGAATGATGCAGACGCAAATCCTTACAGCAATATTTGTTATTATTTGATCTATAGCATGGATCTTTTATAGGTGGTTTGGTAAGGTCTTTAAAGAAATTACCTATATATATTATAAAAAAATATCATTAGAAACGATTTTGGAGCATTTAATTGTGATTATAAAGGTGGTTATGATAAACAATGAACAATAAAACCAAACTTATATATATAACTTACATTCATGAAGGCTAGCCAAGGAAATAAGGATGACACAAAAGATAGTGAGTTTGGAAAATGACATTGTGATTCTTCTGTCTAGAGATAGGTTTTGTTTTTTAAAGTTAAAAAGCTTATATGAAAACACACACACACACACATGTATATATATGCAAAATTAAATTCTAAAAGTAGTAACTTGTTCTTTTTGGGTAATCCGAAAAAATGTAGTTAAATTTTCTTTGGTAGATTTTAATTCCTTTTTCTCCTCGAATATCGACGGTTTAGAATTTTTATTTATTTATATATATAAACATAATTTTTTATTTTCTTCGATTTAGAACTACCTTAATAAAAAATTAACCACATCCACATAGCCATATTTATCGTCGATAGATTTTAATAATTTGATCAAATTGATTAGTGATAGGTTAGCTACAAATATTCTTTCTCTTAATAATTAATAAAGATAATTTGTTGTTTTTTTTTGGTGAGAAGATAATTTGTTGTTAAATTTAATAATAAGTTATTTTATAGGTGAATTCTTTTAAATACCACTAAAATGGTTATTTTGGATTATGAGTTTTATTTTCTAAAAATATCACTAAAATACATTTTTTTCAAAAAATACCAAAAAATTAAAGCTAACATTGTTAAGATTCAAACTAATTTATAATTCCTAAACACTAGACTTACCCATAAAACTATACCCTAAATATAAATAGTCAACCTAAACATAAAAATCTAATTTTGATGTTTATGGTAATTCTGGAAAAGTAAATTTTTTTGTGGTATTTTTGGAATGAAAAAATAATTATGGTATTTTTGGACCCAAAAAAAAAACAAATTGTGGTATTTTTAGAAGAAAAAAAAAACTTAAAATGTGCTATCCCAAGGAATTTCTCTATTTATATGTATATAATTAATGACTACTCAATCTTAACTTTTTATTGGATATTAATTTGAAATGAAAAAATTGAAATGGAGTTATTTCAATAAATAAAATAAAATATTCTTTTTGATGAATTTCTTTTTTTTTGGACAAAACTTTTTGATGAATTTCTAACGACGATTTCTTTTTTTTCTTCTTTTCTAACGACGATTTTATATACTGCAAAATTAGGAAGAATAACAAAGTTGAATTCTCCTAGTGTTAAATTGAATTACTGAAGCCAGACACATCGAGAAAATGTTCACTGTGCCCTGAAAAAAATCATGTATGCACGTATAGAAAACCGAAATGACATTGATGGAGATGGAGAAATATAGTAACTACATGTACAACAAGGACAATGTTTTAATGTTGATGAGTGACAAGAGTCGTGACTTTGTCTTGAAAGGTCTCAGGTTGGTCTGCATCATCTTTGGTAGAGTTTCTTGATTGCAAGTTCTTCACTTCATCTAACTGCAAACGTTAACCATATATTGGTTAAAGACAAAACAGAACAGTTCTGCTTTTCTATATGACAAAACTAAACAATCCTGATCAATACCTCTCTCAGAGTTTCTTGATGTTTAGCCAAAAGCTCATTGTACTTTATTTGCAGATCAGACTTCTCAGCTTGAAGCTTCTCGTACTCAGAAACAGATGGACCACCTAGCTTTTGTTGAATGAATCTGAAGAAGAAAACCAAAGAAACATATTATATTTAACTGAAGAACTACGGTTTCCGGAAAACTAAAACTAAAGGATCACGTTGCGAGAGAATGCAAGATTTTACATAACCAACTTGATATATATATACATAAACCGCTAGGGTAATAGTCCATAAACGATATTTTAAATCTGCACTCGTGAACTTGTACTTGGAGATTAACTAATCGAAGATTGACATAAGAGATTGGCAAAGGAATCGTATTGCAAGAACAGAACTACATTCAAAAACCTCATGAGAGAAGGCTTGTTATTTTGCTCATATAGAGAAATAAGAAACTTACTCTAGAGCAGAGGAAGGCTTGTCGTTCTGTTCATATAGAGAAACCAGAACTACATTCAAAACCCCCATTGTGTTCCAAAACATACAAAAGAGTAGCAAATTATTTGCAAGAACAGCTGATTCAATAATGATAAGCACTTTACAACAGAAATAGAAATTATACCTTTGGTGAGTGAATCAAGAACTCCACTTGACTCCAGATACTTCCTGAAAGCTTCCTTCTTTACCTCTTTCTCCTGATTCATGCAGACACAAAAATAAGTTCAACGACTCAAAAAGAATCTGACAGAAGGAAAATAACTTAACTGAACATCACCAGTTTCAGAAATAGAAAAACAGACTTCAATTTAGGTTAAGGAAAGTTATACCTCTTTGTACCGCATCATCGCCTTGTTCGTGAAAACGCAAAAGACGATATTTTTTCTAGTAACTCTATATTAAACCTCTTCTTTTCTACAGCCGGGTGACAAACTTGGACCTATTTAGATCCTGCAAAGAGTAAATCACACAAACTTTTCTATCATCACACACACTAAGGATCATACCTTTGTTAAGATAAAACATAAAAATTCAGTTTAACATAGAGATAACATAAGCAGAGCCAAGCTCCCGCATTATCCAAGTAATTGAGAACAAAACCTTTGTATTCTCCCATCTTCTTCATACCAAATATATTATATCTCAACAGCTCATGAACCTCTCAAGTTCAACATCTCATTCCACTCTATATACTTTTTTCCAAATATCGATTTTTTTTCTCAAGCACAAAGCCTTATGATGGCAAAGAATCTCAAAGGATCTATCTTTACACTCCAAATCCAGTGGCACGGATCCATAAATTTCTCAAACAGCTTCTCTATCACACGATACATCTACTTAACTAACAAACGAGAAACAAAGGGCCAGCTTTGTTAAGACAAAACATAAAATTCAGCTCAATTCAGAGATAAATCAAACAGAGCCAAGCTTCAACTATACCAAGCTCCCACTATATCCAAGAACAGAACCTTTCTACTCTACCATCTTGTTCATTCCAAATATATCATATCTCATCAGCTCATTAACCTCTCAAGTTCCTAAACCTATCCACTCTAAGAACTCTTTTACCCAAATTTCGATATATTCTTAAGCACAAAGCCTTATGATGGCAAAGAATCTCAAAGGATCTATCTTTCCACTCCAAATCCAGTGGTACAGATCCATAAATTTCTCAAGCAGCTTCTCTATCACACAATTCATCTACTTAACTAACAAACGAGAAACAAATGGCCAGCTTTGTTAAGACAAATCATAAATTTCAGCTCAATTCAGAGATAAATCAAACAGAGCCAAGCTCCCACTATACCAAACTAATTCAGAACACAACCTTTCTACTCTAACCATCTTCTTCATTCAACCTCCTCAAGTTCCTAAACCGTCCCACTCTAAGAATTTGTTTCAAAGTTTCGATTTTTTTTTGTTTCGTTCTAACGCATAAAGCCCTTACGATGGCAAGAGATCTCAAAGGATCTATCTTTATTCTCAACTATAACAAAGACATCTAAAACCCAAAATGGGATTTACCTAGCTCTTGAAATTGTTTCAGGCGAGACGCGAAGGAGACGAAGCAATGTCAGAAGTTGTGGTTGGAGTTGTGAATCTGGTCAGATCTGTTGAAGCTCGTCAATGGCAGCGAAAAATAAAAAGTGAAGCTTTAGAAATCGGAAGCGATTGCGGTTTAAACAAATGAGTTGAATCAACTCGTTAGTCGTTACCCATTTAACACTAAACTCATTACCTAGTTGAATTGAGTTGGGTTAGTTATTTTGACACTCTTAATCGTACGTGTGATAACCGTATATATAATGGTTAAAATTATGGTTATTAGTTGTATAAGTTAAATATATCTATATGATCTTGTTTGTTTTAAATTTTATATTATTATATGTAGGTGTTGAATTTCACCTACTAGGTTAATTATCTAAGATTTAAAAGAGGGAACAAAACTTGGGCTAAGCTCTCGGATCTAGAATAATGAAATATCGAACTCGAGATGGAAAATACACTTTTATATTTATGAGTATTACTTCTTTCGAATGATTACAAGATGATTTCTACAGATCGTAAACACACTTCTTTTATAGACCCAATCAGCACGCGATCTACGCTTCGCCTTCCTGGATCTTCGCCTCCTCCTTCTCTGCTTCAGTTCCCGGATTATCTCAACAACTCACGCTGAACTCTCCTTGGGCCTAAGGCCCATCCCATTATCGTATAATTTCGGCTCCACCTTATGGGTCTTGACTGGGCTTTCACCGCAAGACATATATTATTAAATATGTACAACGTCACAATCGGGTATAAATTTCTAAACAATGGTTTAAAACCATAATAAATAAGACTAATATGTTTCCAGAAGGCCTGGGGCGAAGCTGGATATCCGGCATTTTTCAGGATATCCGGATTCGTATATTTAATATCCGGCTCCAGATCCGTTATTCCGGATATCCGTGTACCAGACATTTGTATTATCATTATTTTTTTTTTAATTATCAAAAAATATTTTAAAATTAAAATAAAAATATATTAATTTTAAAAAATAATAAGAAAAATATTTTTTAATATATAAAAATAAGAAAAATATATTATATAATATTAATATTAATAAATATTAATAAAAATAATAATAAATTATTAAAAAATGTCGGATCCGAATATTCGGTTTAAAACTTTCCACTATCCGTATCTTTATCTGTATCCGGCCGAATCTGTTATTTCACTATCCGGATCCGGCTCCGCCCTATCCGGATACTCGGTTTTTCGGAGCGGATCGGAACGGATCCCAGATGGGATCACGGATGTCGGATAATTGGTCTCAGGGCTAGCTTCCAACTATGATTATATTTGATTGAACGGGGTTCAGTTTACATATATTTGATTGAACGGGCTTGAGTTTACATAAATATGATTATATTTTTTTCTTACGGGTTGTTTACACACAAAGTATTTAAGTTAGATGAAAGCTTGAATTTTTGGATTCACTATTTTTGCTATATTACAATGGTGTTTAGAAAGTTTGATATGGCCTAAATTTTTTTTTTTTTTTTTGGGAAGAAAATGTGCATATTTGTTCTATGGGACCATTTGTTCTAGGGAAAAATGTCATAAAAATCCCGAACTTTCAAATTTGGGACGATTTAATTCTGAACTTTGAAAAAGTCATGATAATCACACAGTTTATGTTCATTTTTCCGTAAAATAGTTAAGTTTCGTTGACCTCGTCGATTTAAGCACGGCATTTTTATTCTTTGTTAAAATCTCAATTACGGGGTATTTATTCATGAGATGTTTTAGAAAACGACGTCGTTTAACTAATTAAATAAACTAATCCCAAAATCGATTCACAAATTCACAAAATCTAAATCTCTAACCCTTGAAAAATCCACAAATTCTCTCTAACTCTTGTCGAATTGTTGCTATGGCATGGACTCGTGGAAAATCTGACGTCGTTTCTTTGTTTAAAAAACATGATCGTTTAGCTAAACGGAAATAACTCACAAATAGTTAATCCCAACTTTTAATCTTTCTTTAAATTTTAAAGATTTTTTTTTTTTTTTTTTTTCGATTACCAAAAAAAAATCTTTGAAATTTAAAGAAAGATTAAAAATTGTGTTTAAATCCGCAAAGTCAGCAAAACTTAGCTATTTTACGGAAAAATCAATACAAACTATGTAATTAGAAATTTCGAATGACTGTTTTAAAGTTCAAATGATTAAATGGTCTTAAATATGAAAGTTTAGAATTTTTATGACAATTTTCCATTTGTTATATTCTCATTAGAATTGTTAATATTTCTCGACTCTCTCTCACTCATCTTCTCCGACGATCAGACCTCCCCGGCGCTTCTGAAACCCATCCTCCTCATTTTATACTTTCCCCTCCCCATAATCTCCAACAATGGGTGACGAAAAGAAGAGGCGGAACAAGAAGAAGAAGCGTGGTAGTGGTAACAAGAAGAAGATGAACACTGAGCAAACAGAGGCATTCAAATCGGTCAGCGATTGGGTCTTCATAGGTTCATCTCCATCTCTCTCCTCTTCCTCTGATGACTTTGCTGTTACCATCAATAATGGTTCTTTGAGATGTGGAGATAAATTGGTGTTCGAGCTTCACTCTCATTCAAATCGCAGCGATGGGTTTCTATCTCCTTCGAAGCTCGTTGAGAGGGCTTATAACAATGGGGTTAGTTTCCAGATTTTGTGTGTTTTTTTTTTGAATTGATTGATTTGATTTGATGGATGAATGAATAAGGAGAAAGATCTGAATTAGGGGTTTTTAGAGATGCCCTTAAGATTAGGTATTGGTGTGATCAGATTGTGCAGATGAGAATGTTAAATGGGCTCGATTAAGTTGAGTTTAACCATAAAGATTATAGCTTTGTGCCTCTGTGTAGTGGGCTCGATTAAAGTTCATTGCTTTATGTTTATGTTTAGGAGTAGTCCGTAGGAATGAAACAAGGGTTTATGTTTGACCATAAAGATTATAGCTTCTGTACCTCAGTTGTAGTGGGCTCAAAGTTCATTGCTTCGGTTGTTTTTGGTGATTATGTCTTCTGTACTGTATTCTGGAGTAGGATGTGGGGAATGAAACAAAGGGTTTATGTTAGTCCAGCAACTATACTTTTGATTTCGTAATTGTGCATGAGTTTACTTTGGAACTTCTGATGGCATGGTATCAAGGATTTGAATGCTTCTCAATGTGATCAAAGTAGGTGAAAGTTCTTTCGCTAACGGATCATGATACAATGGCTGGTATTCCAGAAGCAGTTGAAGCAGGACGTAGATTCGGTGTGAAGATCATTCCGGGTATTGAGATCAGCACATTATTTGGTTTGAGGTATTGTAGGCTTGATTTAAATTATTCTGACTTCTTTGCTCAAAGTATATGAATTTAACTGATAGATATTTTTTGCCGAAATCTAGAGACTCTGGTTCTGAGGAGCCAGTACATATACTTGCGTACTATGGCACTTCGGGTCCAGCAATGTATGATGAGTTGGAAGATTTCTTGGTGAAGATAAGGGATGGGCGTTTTGTTCGTGGGAGAGAAATGGTCTTGAAATTGAATAAGTTGAAGATACCTCTAAAATGGGAACATGTCACCAGGATTGCAGGCAAGGATGTTGCTCCGGGTAGGATGCATGTAGCCAGAGCGCTTCTTGAAGCAGGATATGTGGAGAATTTAAGACAAGCTTTCACTAAATATTTACACGATGGTGGACCTGCTTATGCCACGTTAGTTCTGCTTCTTCCTTAGTTTGGCTGGTTTTATGGAACGTTGTTGATTTATGTGTTTATGATAAACCTTCTGTTAGTCTAGTGCAGGAGCATTGTTGTGGATTTAAACTGTGTCGACAGGTCACCAACTATATTAGGGTTTAGAATAGGTCAACTAAAGATCTAACATGCTAAAAGAAAAATTAGGCAGATAAGTTTGGGGTATTTTGGATTGGTCTGGGATCTTTCTCTGGGCATTGTTAGAGACTCATAGACTTCTATTCTTGATCAAATATCTTATCAGCCTTGGTGTAGTTTAAAACTAGTATCACTCTGCTTTTGCAGAGGGACCGAGCCTATGGCCGAGGAAGCAGTAAAACTTATATGCAAAACCGGTGGTGTAGCTGTGCTTGCACATCCTTGGGCGTTGAAGAATCATGTCGGTGTTATTAGAAGATTGAAAGATGCTGGACTTCATGGGATCGAGGTTTATAGAAGTGACGGCAAGCTAGAAGGTCTCTCTCTCTCTATCCCTTCCTCCTCTCCCTCTCTGTCAATCTATCTATCTATTTAGGTTCCCTTATTTGAAATGTTTATTGAACAGTGTTCAGCGAGTTGGCTGATACATACAGTCTGCTGAAGCTAGGAGGATCAGATTATCATGGAAAAGGCGGACGCAATGAATCAGAACTAGGGAGCGTTAACCTTCCCATGACAGCACTGCAGGATTTCTTGAACCTTGGACGTCCTATATGGTGTGAAGCCATTAAAGCAACCATGAGAGCATTCCTTGACCAACCATCCGATTCTAACCTCTCCAATATCTTACGATTCGATCGGGCAAGGATTCTGAAAGGAAACTCAGCTTGGTCCTGTGGTAAGGAGCTGATAGACCGATGTCTAGCGATTTGGTTAACGAGTGTTGAGAGAGAAAATGAAGAGTTTGAGACTCTCAGAACGAAGCTCTCCTTTGTACCAATCACCTCAAATGGTTCATGTATCACAGTTGGTCCATAAATATTTTAGTCTCTTAACGAATTAGAATTTCTTGTCTCCAAGACTCCAACAATGCTACATATTGTCAACACATTTGTGGTTTCTCCACGTCACAAACCAAAGATACACAAGCAAGATTCAAATTCAAAGCCTACATCCAAAAGTCTCATCTAAGGTTTGACAATCTTTGAAACTAAATAAATCGAAAGAGTTAAGTCATTCAAATTTCAAATAAAGAAAAGATAGGTAGTGATGTAAAGTGTATGAAGGAGTGATTAAAGGAAAAGATTTGCAACTTTACATTCATTTCTTTTGCCACCTTTGTATTCATTCATGGCACTTTCTCCACACTCACCCATCATTACACTATGTTTGTTTACAGTTCATTGTTTCCTATAATTTATTTATATTTGCTGACAATAACACATTCCACCAGATTTTTAGTTTAGTCACTTTGATAAATACAAACTACAATGTTCTGATATAGTTCTGTCAATTTCAGGTTCTGATAGTTACAAAAGTATATAAATATGTTCTTAATTTGTAGATTCAAACTTGGTTACTTAACTAACCATAGTCTCTTTAATGAGTGATCTTTTAATTGGGTTATAAAGCATGAAAATTGAAAGAGTTCTACACAAGTCCAAATGGACTCAATCGTTTGCTGTAAAATTCATACAAATGGCTGAACGTAAAAAATGTCAAAAAAACATGAATTTTCAAATTTTGGACGGAAAAAGCAAGAAATTTTAAAATTTGGTTGAATTCATGAAAAAATGGTTAAGTTTCGTTGACTTGGCCATTTTAGATACATTATTAAATTTTTGTAACAAAAACGATTATGAAGTTAACTTTCCGTAGAGAGTCAAAACGACATTATTTTCTAACTAAAAAATTACCATTCTTTTACTTATGGTTTGCCATTTTAATATTTTTCCTATATCAATTAACCCTCATAAATATTATAAACCGTATCCACTAAAAGAAAAACATTTTTGTTTCTCACATGACGTAAATAATAATAATATTTTTGGTCAAATTTTATGTCCCTTTATAAATCTGGTATTTTTTTCATTTTATAACCTTTATAATATAAATATACATACCTTTTAAAAAGAAAAAATGCTACAAATTTGGAATAACGACCGAATTATAAACAAATCTAATTAATTCCATAAAGCATCAATACACTGAGAAAGCAATGATTCATGTCTTCTCTTTCGGCGAAAACATCAAAAAAAATAAAAACAATAATACATGAAAAAAGGTTAGTCCATTTATTAAGCTCAAAGCTAAGAAGAACCCCAAAAGAGCATTCATCATTCCTCATCACAATGGCGTCGTCTTCAACTACTCTCCTCATGATCTTCGCCGCGGTCGCGGCCGCATTGACCTTGTCGGGTTATAGAGTTCATGCTGCAGTGGACTGTTCGTCGTTGATACTAAACATGGCTGATTGCTTATCATTTGTGACAAGTGGTAGTACAGTGGAGAAGCCAGAAGGGACATGTTGTTCAGGTCTCAAGACAGTGGTTAGGACAGGACCAGAGTGTTTATGTGAAGCATTCAAGAACAGTGCTTCTCTTGGTGTTACTCTTGATTTGTCTAAAGCTTCTTCTCTTCCTACTGTTTGTAAAGTTGCTGCTCCTCCTTCTGCTCGTTGTGGTCGTATGATTTTCGATTCTTTTTTTTTTTTTTTTCATTTTTTATGGTTTTTTTATATATATTTTGTTGAATGTGTTTTGATAAATTTTTTGTGTGTTTTTGTAGTTTCTGTCTCTGGATCTCCTCCTGCTACTGCCCCTGGTATGTAAATCTCTCATGCTTTGATTTTGTTGAATTTATTAATTATAGATCGATCTTTTTTTTTTAGTTTAGTTTGAGAATTTTGATTTGTCTGGTTTTGGTTCGGTTTTTAGATAAGAAATTATAAATGATAATTGGTAATTTGATATGATATATATGTATTGATTTTTTTTTTTTGGTAAAAAATATATATTAATGGACATATTCATGGTCGTTTTTGACGAATTTATGTTAAAATTCAATAATTCATGGTTGAAAATGGACAGTTTTCTTGTAGTGATATAAATGGTTTTATCTTTTAAAATGCATAACTTCACCTTATAATACAAGAATTTTAAAGATTATTACAAACATAACCAAATAGGTGGTGATCTTCTCTTTGTGTTCTTAAATAGTAATGTAATTGAAAACTTTGTGAATTAGCATTTTGGTTTTAAATGGAGTATGATTTTGATTGTAAGAAAAACCAAGTACATTAAAGATTATTATTAAAAAATATAAAAATAAGTAATTTGTTTTCTTTGTCTTAATTATTAATGTACATATGTTAATTACATAGCATTTTGGGTTTGGATGTAGGTTTAGCTCCTACGGCCGGAGCAGGTGCACCGGAGTTGTCCAGCAGAGCAAATGCGGCGGCGTCTCCAATTCAGTCCCCGAGGAGTTCAGATGCATCCTTGCTCTCTGTGTCTTTCGCATCTATCATTTTCATGGCACTCATCTCTTCTTTCTATTGAGCCTTATACAATTTAATTGCTTCTCTTGAGTTCTTTTTGTTTGCTATGTAGCTGAAGAGTTTGGTGTTGATGATCACTTTTAACTTTCATGTATCAATTCTACTGAGAATTCTCTCATAATTTTAGTTTCTAAGAAAAAATTATATTATTATTACATTTTGAGTTGGCAAAAATATTCATTGAACAAACACCACATTATGAACAAAAGACTAACAATATGGTACCGTACTACAAGAAAATAATCGATTTCGTACATCCAGTTTTGTAAGAAAATGGTAGGAAACATACATTTTTCGTATAGAAAATCGTACATGGTAAGATTTTAGTAGGAAATTTCTAAAGTTATCTCGTAGAAACGAGAATTCTTATTATTTCAATAATTTACACCATGGTACAAGAGGTTATTATAGTATAATGATCTTAGATGATCAACATAACACGAGAAGTGTTTAGCCTAATTGGCATTAGAAGTGGAAGAGATATAAGTAAAATATTTGGTTCGTGTGTTAAAGAAATTTTGCAATCTCTTTGATGCTTCAACAATGTCTTCTCTTCCTCCAAACCCACTAATCCTCAAATACTCTTCTCCACCGGGTCCGAATCCTGATCCTGGTACTGTTATTATATGAGTGTTTTCTAAGATCTCAGCAAAAACGTCCCATGACTTTGATCCTTTAAAGTGAACCCACAAGTATGGAGCATTTACACCACCATAAACCTTGAGGCCAAGTGAGATAAGAGTGTCCATCAGTATCTTCCTGTTCTCTTTGTAGTAATTGTTCACCGACCGTATCTCCTGTCATGTTTTAACCCATAAAAACATAAATAGAAAGTCGTATAAAACGAAGCAAAAATGTAATAATCAAGAACATATATGCCATACTATATATAGACCCTTAACCAAAAACTAGCTTATTAGTTAGAGACTATTAGAGTACACATGTAACTTATAACATATTGTAAGCAAATGCTATAAAATTTTATTACCTTAAGGCCACCAGAAGAAAGACATGCTAGTCCACCGGCTTGAGCAATATTTGAAGCACCATTGAAAGAAGTGGTCACAATGCGATGGAAATCGTTGATAATGGGAAAACCATTAGAGTACAAGAGCTCATCAGGGATGACACTCCAACCAAGTCTAACACCGGTGAAACCAGCAAACTTGGAGAATGATGAAACTTCAATCGCGACCTATAGCAAAGAAAGTAATATGATTAATGTAAACAAAACAAAAACACACAAGGAATCATATATATGATGAGAATATGTAAACTCATTTCACCTCTCTAGCACCAGGGATTTCATATATAGAACGCGGGCTACCATCTTCGATAAAAGCAGCATAAGCAGAGTCAAAAATAACAATAGAACCATTTCTCTTTGCAAAATCAACTAGTTGACGTAGTTGTGTTCTTGATGCTACATAACCAGTAGGGTTATTAGGAGAACAAAAGAAGATAACATCAGTCCTTGGGGTCATATTCAGATCAGGGAAGAAACTATTGTTCGGTCCACATGGCATGTACACAACGTTTTGATACTTCTTGGTTGATTCATAGAAATGACCAGTCTGACCCATTATCACACTTGAATCTATATAAGCCTGAATCCACAACAAAGAAGCATAAGAGACAAAACAAAAACAGCTTCTCATCTAAACAAGTGAAGACATTAACATAAAACATTACCGGGAAGGTAGGATCTTGCACAGCAATTGTGACATTGGAGCCTAGGAGTATCTAAAGATTATTCAAAACTCAAATCAGCCAAAACGTCAAAAGAATATATCAAATATCAATAAAACACTCTCTAGCTAACTAGATGCATACCTGAAGACGAGAAATATCACTTTGTGCACCATCTGATACAAAAACTTCATTGCTTTTTACATCCAAGTCTTTATAAAACGTTTCAGCAATAGCTTTTCGCAGGGTCTAGAAAAAAAAATATTCAATACAAAGATTAGCAATAGTATAACCTCTATTAATTAATACTCTATAAATTAATACTCTCTATGTATAATTTTAGACATATTTCAATAAATAATAAGATAATAATATTTTTGAAAATCCTTTATAAATATATAGTCTTATCAATATTATAAATTGATAATTAGGTAAAATTTTCAAAATATATGTATATATATTTTTTTTTTTGGTAAATAAATATATGTATATATAGACACATTAGTTTTTGTTAGAGTTTATTTTAAAATATTTTTTTGAAAAACTTTCCAAATTAGAAAAATCTCTCTATAAATTAATAATTATTAATTTATCGATAAATTAAAACCTTTATAAATTAATAGATTTTCATGGTCCCAACATTATTAATTTATAGAGGTTTTACCGTATATAGCATTGATGAATCCGCTATGTAAACAGTATTATAGCGTTTTCCGTATGTTTAAAATACCGATAATTGCTTGTAGTGACTCAATACTTAACTAGCTTGTATAATAAAAAGAAGATATATCATGTTACCTTATTTCCTTGTTCGAGTCCATACCCTCTATATCCTTCTACGGTCGATAGGCCATGTACAAACTGAACAATCAAAATCCGACACACATTGTTACTAACTGATAATTAAGAAGCACAACAAAATTTAAAACATAGAACATTATTAAATTTTCTCTTCTTTGGTTCAATGCCTATATACATGATTTAATCATGTAACACTATATATAAAGTCACACTGGTTAATAAATACTATTAATATACATACAAAAGAGATGCACATGCATATATATACACGACCAACCATGCTATTAGCTAGAGACAAAACAAAATTAGAAACGGCCAACACATGCGTCGACGACAATTAAAACAAAATTTGAAGAAAGATAGTTTCTTTGCATGAAAACAAAACCGACGACAAATTCAAAAAAATTTGAAAAATCAAGAAGAGGACGACATGTGACTTTTGAGTTGGCTAAGTCACGAAGAAGATTTGTATGAGTGTGGAATAGTTTAAGCATTCATGTAAGTAACAATGGGTTATTCATATCACGTTGGTGATCATCCTTAAGTTTTAGGGCTTAACACAATACACAACACACACAAAAGAATATATCATATACCTTAGACATGTGTGAGGTTATGTGCTCTGGTATAGGCTCTGTTGTATCACCAGTCCCAAGGCTTATCACTTGTACATTTGGATGCTTTTCAATGTGCTCAAGCTTACGTCTATTGATCTATTTTTACAACATAATACAAAACGATCTTAGTTAAATTAAATATGAATATTCCTCAAATATTGTAATACTACAATTTTGGAAAATCAAGAAAGATAAGAAGATTAAGAAAATTACTTCAGGGAACAAATAGTTGTTCTTTAGTTTCTCCAAATTCGCGTTACGAACAAGTTTTGTTGTGCTACCACCTGAGCAAGGAAGCATTAGCATAACCAAATATAAAAATGTAAATATTTCATTAAAAATGAAAATGGTTTACGTTACAATCCAAACAATTGAATTGTATGTGTATGGTTTTATGGCAAAAGATAAAAAAAATATATGAAAGCATAAGATGATAATTAAACCAAATTTTCGATTCATCTACTTAACGAGGCCAAGAAGTTGTGGGAACAAGATGAAGCGATGACGTTTAACAAGATGAAACTATATATTCTTCTCACAGTTTTAAGACTCATAGTGAAAAAACTTTACCTAGTTTCTTGATCTCGAAGTCCAAACTATAGACAAAAAAAAAAGAAGAAAAGTTGATTAGTTAGTGTATTAACAAGCGGATTATGTATCTTCGCATTATAATTTTAATGAACTAGTTACCTAGCCTTGGCAAATTTTGATGGAGAAGAGCATAAGCTTGAGGCCGAACCAACGAACATTAGACTGACCATTCTTGATCACTTCCAAGTTTGTGTGAAAGCAATTCAGAGAAATGTAGGAAATATATAATACAAACTGATCTGATACGTGCATGTATATATACTCGAAGCAAGTGCCAATGACCACTATTAAAATGTGTATATATGTGTCACCTTCAAGTGGATAGAGTGCAGAAATTTCTAAGGCAGCCAATACATGCACGACTAGTAAGTCAGATGAATTCACACCATGTCTTCATATTGTCCACTTAATGTTGGACAAATATAATATATTAACATTGTTTTTGAGAAACTATCTTTTTTTTTTTAATATACTCCATGGTTCCAATTTATTAGATGGTTTAGAGATAATATATACTCTCTATGTTCTATTTTATAAGAGTTTTTAGCTAAAACTGAAAGATTAAGAAATAATAAATATTCTTTTGTTTATAAAAATTTAACGAATATAAGAGAATACTGCAAAATTTAAATAGTTATAAACAATTAAAATTGATATAAATTTTACATAGAAACTTCAGAAACTCTAATTAAATGGAACAAAAAGAAAAGTCTAAAACATCTAATATATATAGTGGAACAGAGGGAGTATTTTTTTTACATATTTAATTTATTTTTTGGGTGAATTAATGATAAATTTATTAGGTCATTACAAAAATAGAGGTATTAGATTTTGTTTGAAGTACCAAGAAATTTTCATTTAATTTGATGTTTTCTGACAACTTATCTATGAATTATTTTTAGTTGGATATAATTAATTGATACTCCATCCGTTCTTATTTAAATTATTTTGTTAGAATTGTACACACATATTAAGAAATTTTTGAATTTTGTTTTGTTTATATTTAAACTAAAACATCATTTAATAACTACTTTGACACAATCAACCATTAAGAAAAAAAAATCCGCATAATATAAATTGTTAGAATCAATAAAAATCTAATTAATTAATTCTGCATAGATTTGTTAGAAAATCGTCTACTTTAGAGAAAAAATATAAAGTTAAAAAATCATTTAATAAAGAACGGAAGGAATATTTTTTAAAAAAATGTATAATGTCAAATGACAAAGCAACACATGATCATTTATGTCATTTAGCTAAAATTGTAAGAATATAAACGGAAAGTTTTAAAAAGATATAACGATATTGACGCGACAACAACTTAAACTTAAACTATCTTTATATTTGTGAATTTGTGCCGACAAAAAAAAAATTGTGAATTTGTAATAACACATTAGAAAAATACTTCAACATTTACGACGAAGCAACCTTTAGTATAGGAGTTAGGCTAACATTCAGA